GGTGAGCAGCGGGGGGGAGGAGCCCGGCAGCCTGGCCATGTGGGGCCTCCCCGGGCGCTGTCCGGCACATCTGGAGGGGGATGTGACTGTAGGATTCGGGAGGCCTGGTTCAAGCCTCAGCCATGCCCACCTGTGAGCCCGGGCACGTGTGACCTCTCTGGGCCTCGGCCGCGTCCTCAGACCAGAGGCACCACTGCAGCCAGGGGTCAGCGGGGGGGATGGGGGATAAAGGATGGTGAGAAGGGAGCCCAGGGCAGGGGGTGGGGTGAGACTGTGGCCCCCAGGCAATGCCCTCATTCCTTCCCCGGGTGGATGGGGCAGAAGTCTAGGCCAGTGATGGCGAACCTATGACACGCGTGTCAGAGGTGACACGCGAACTCATTTTTTGGGTTGATTTTTCTTTGTTAAATGGCATTTAAATATATAAAATAAATATCAAAAATATAAATCTTTGTTTTACTATGGTTGCAAATATCAAAAAATGTCTATATGTGACACGGCACCAGAGTTAAGTTAGGGTTTTTCAAAATGCTGGCACGCCGAGCTCAAAAGGTTCGCCATCGCTGGTCTAGGCATTGTCACCGCCTCCCAGAACCGCCTTGGGAGAAACCCCTGCCCTCCCCAGAGCCCCTCTGTAGACCCCCTCACTGCCCCTTTTTTCTCTCCCCACCCCCAGTGCCTCCCACCATTGAGCAGGGGACAGAGGGCGCAGGGCCCCTGGTGCACAGGGCTGGGGAGCTGGTGATCCCAGCGCACCCACCTCCACGGCTCCGGCCGCATCCTCAGGTGAGGGAGCAGCTCCTGGCCCGCTGGCCGGTGGATCGCAGGCCCGACACCTCCCGGCAGCTGGGCCTTGTTCACCTGCCCACGCGCGGCCTTCAGAGCGGGAGGCAGCAGCACCTACCAGTGAGATCGTAGGAATCGCTCTTCAGGATTCAGGCAGGATCCCCCAGAGGGTTCTGTTAGGAGGCACAGGCGATGGGTATTTCTGAGAAAGGGAAGGGGAACGGTACGCCATGGAGGGAAGGCGTCGCCATGGGCAACAGCGTGACACGGGGATGTCAACGCTAAACAGTGTTTTCACTTTCCAGCCCAGTCGTCACATTACTGTTTTCTTGTTATCTTCGCAAACAGCTCTTTGGGACACAATGTTGCCCCAGGCTCAGTCCAGAGGTACCTTGCCCTGTTTAACACCCCAAAGATCTGAGACAGAGACACGCAAGGAGGCAGTTTCTCTGGCACAGCCGCTCCGCTCGGCTCTGTCTTAAAGTGGCTCCTCTTATACTGTTGTTTACAGGCTTTATAGAAATTATATAAACATACAGTTTCATGAGGGGGAAAGTGAGAGGACCCCACCCCCAAATGAAACTCCAGAGATGAAAGGGGCCTCTGCCCGGAGGCTCTCACAGCCCAACGGGGGAGGCACAGATCCAGGGCGGGACATCTGGTTGTACCCGACCCAGCCTGGCCTGGGGTGGAGGAAATCAGGGAAGGCTTCCTGGAAGGAGGTGCATGAGCAAAGCCTTCATGCATTCAGCAACGCTTGCAGATGCTTGCTGTTCCAGGCATAGCTCTGGGCACTGAGATGTAGTGAGCAGGATAAAGTCCCTGCACCTGAGGTTTTGGAGGTGGAGGGAGATGGAAATCAAACATATAAAAATGAAATCTCGCAAGGGACATGTGCTCTGAACAATAAAGTACGATGAGGGGATGGGAGGCGGCATGGAGGGTGCTATGTTCGGGGATCAGTGAAAGGCACTCAGATAGCGTGCCACTTGAGCGAGACCAAAGGAAGTGAGAAGGCAAGGCGAGAGGATTCCGTGGGGAAGAGCGTCCAGGCACAGAGGGGAGGGGTGCGGGGGAGGGAGGTCAGATGACGTAGGACCTTGCGGGTCCTTAGGAAGATGTGTCTTCCTGCGGAGAGGGAATGCCGAGAGGCAGCGAAGCATCATGATATGATGTCCTTCCTTGTGGCAAAATGCACCTGATATAAAACTTAGGCTTTGACCATTTTAAGTCTACGGTTTTAACTGTATTGAAGTACGGAGTGGCATGCAGTGCATTCACAGTGAAAGGCACTCAGATAGCGTGCCACTTGAGCGAGACCAAAGGAAGTGAGAAGGCAAGGCGAGAGGATTCCGTGGGGAAGAGCGTCCAGGCACAGAGGGGAGGGGTGCGGGGGAGGGAGGTCAGATGACGTAGGACCTTGCGGGTCCTTAGGAAGATGTGTCTTCCTGCGGAGAGGGAATGCCGAGAGGCAGCGAAGCATCATGATATGATGTCCTTCCTTGTGGCAAAACGCACCTGATATAAAACTTAGGCTTTGACCATTTTAGGTCTATCATCGAGCCTACGGTTTTAACCGTATTGAAGTACGGAGTGGCATGCAGTGCATTCACACTGTCGTGCCACCATCACCTCCATCCGTCTCCAGAACTTCCTCCTCTTCCCAAACTGAAACTCTGTCCCCATGAAGCACTCACTCCCCCGCCCCCCCTCCCCTCCCTGGCTCCCACCATCTCCTTTCTCTCTCTCTGGATTTGGCTCCTCCAGGCCCCTCCCATGAGTGGAGTCAGACAGTATTTGTCTCTGTGTCTGGCTCATCTCACTCAGCATCGTGCCCCCGGCTGCACCGTGTCGTAGCCGGTGTCAGGATCCCCTTCCTTGTAAGGCTGAGGGACACTCGGCTGTGGGGATGGACCACATTTCGCTCCTCCGTCACCTCTCGGTGGACACTTGGGTTGCTTCCACCTTGGCTGTTGTGAGTGATGCTGCCGTGAGCACAGGTGTACAAATACCTCTTCGAGTCTTCGCTTCAGTTCTTTCTGGTTATGACTTGGGTTTTTACACAGTCCTTCTGGCTGCTGTGTGGACATCAGGCTGTGGGGTCAAGGGCAGAGCAGGGAGGGCGGTGGGGACCACGGCAGCCAGCGGCGAGACCCAGTGCGGCCTGGACCAGAGCCTGTAGTGAGGCGGGCAGAGGTGAGCAACAGGGAGGAGTTGACTTGATCCGAGGCTCCCATCGGGGACCCGGGAAGGCTGTAGGCCCTGTGTTCTGAGATGGGCCCGCTGTGGAGGGACAGGTTGAGGGCAGACCCGAGTCCTGTTGGAACATGGCGGGTTTGGGAGGCTCTCAGGCGTCCGGGCAGGATGGTGACCAGGCGTTTGTGGAGAGAGCCGTGTGGGACTGTCAGCAGCAGGTGGTGGTGGGAGCCAGGACTGGCTGCGGCCCCGGGGTGAGTGTGGACTGCACCCCCGGCCACCAGGGTGAGCAGCGGCTCAGGAGGAGTGGGTGAGGTGAAAGGGGGCTCGAGAGAAAGTGGGGGACAGACAGTGGATGACTCTGGTGAGTCCTGAAGATGAGGAATTATCTAGAAGAGAGGGGGTGGAGGAGGCCCGGCTGGCGTGGCTCAGTGGTGGAGCGTGGACCTATAACCAGGAGGTCCCGGTTCCATTCCCGGTCAGGGCATATGCCCCGGTTGTGGGCTTGATCCCCAGTGTGGGGTGTGCAGGAGGCAGTTGATCACTGATTCTCTCTCATCACTGATGTTTCTTTCTCCCTCTCCTTTCTTCTCTGAAATCAATAAAAATACATTTTTTTTAAAAAGAAAGAAAAGGGGTGGGGGAGGCAGGCCGTCCTAGGAGGGCAGTGGGGCTCCCAAGGGGGAGGAGGCAGCCCGGCTGTGGAATGAGATGGTGGAGGTGGCATCGGGGCCGGGGCCAGGGCCGGGCCAGGGCGTCTGGGCCTCTATTCTGAGGGCACAGGGAGCCAGGAAAGGCATTGAAACAGAGGCTGGACCTGCTCAAGTTTGTCTCAGAGCCGCCCTTTTGACTGGCAAGCCTTTGGGAGGCAGAATGAGAATGGGGGAGAGGAGGGACCTTTGCACTGAGCCCCCCCTTCTCTGTCCTCTCTCCCCCTTTTCTCGAGGGGCTCAGGATTTCCCGGGTGCAGTTGGCAGATGCCGGTGTCTTCACCTGTGTGGCTGCAAGCCCCGCCGGCGTGGCCGACAGGAACTTCACGTTGCAGGTGCACGGTATGGAGCAGCGGCGTGCCATGGTCCGTCCTTGGCCTTGGGGTGTAAGAATGAAGGCCTTTGTGAGCAAACACGGCGACTCGGTCTGGTCTGTTCACCTCCCGAGTAGTCGCTGGACACCGTGGGGTGGCAGGAACTTGCCAGGCACTGGGGTACAGCAGTGAGCAGAGGTGGCCCCTGCCACTAGGAGGGCAGGGCAGGACACCACTCTGTAGAGAGGTGACCACAATCCCAGGGGACTGGTGCTGCGAGGGGAAGGTCAGGGCGCTGGGGGAGCACAGAGCGGGCACTGCACCCGGCCTCAGGCATTCCGGGAAGGCTGCCTGGAGGAGGTGAGGCCTAAGGCGAGGACTGGAGAGGAGAAGGGATTGTCCAGAGCGAAGGTCCAGGGGAGGGCCACCTGGCACGGGGTGAAATGACGCGTGCCCACCCTCTGCCCTGCACAGTGCCCCCTGTCCTGGAGCCGGCGGAGATCCAGAACAATGTGGCAGTGGTCCGTGGCTCCCCGGTGGTCCTCCCCTGTGAAGCCCAGGGCAGCCCCCTGCCCCTAGTGTCATGGATGAAGGACGGAGAGCCCCTGTTCCTCCAGAGTCTTGAGCAGGGTCCCAGCCTGCAGCTGGAGACGGCGGGAGCCGGGGACTCGGGGACCTACTCCTGCGTGGCCGTGAGCGAGGCGGGGGAAGCACGGAGGCACTTCCAGCTGACGGTGATGGGTGGGTCATCGGCCCCCAGCGCCAGCATCCCTGGGCCAGGGAGGGGCGGGCGGGCCTGGGGGGTGATGGAGGAGGAGGAGAGGGAGCCGAGTGCCCCAGGGGCCTGGAGCAGGGTTTGGGGAACAGGCAGCGGGGATGCTGCATTCTCCTGGGGTTGCCTCCTCAGTCCTGTCCCCAGACCATGTAAAGCAGGGGCAAGAGCCGCTGAAATCTGGGCGGGAGTGGAGTCCTACGTCTCAAGCACAGGAGTTCTCAAGTGTCGCTGTGTATTAGGAAAACGTGTGCCCACTGTGCCTGCTCCTGCACACTGTGTCCTTGTTAGTGTTAAAGCAGGAGTAACTGTCCCAGGCAGATGGGCCGTGGTTTCTCCTGTTCTTAGGGCCTCCCGCACACCCCCACCTGCCTATTTATGGCTCTGCCTGCTCTGTCCACTTCCAGCACCTGGACGGTAGGGGCGGGGGATGCACCCCGGCTCCCACTTCTCCAACAAGGGCCCCACAGCTGATGCCGGTGTGGCGTTTCGTAGATCCCCCCCACATCGAGGACTCGGGCCAGCCTGCAGAGCTGTCGCTGACCCCTGGTGCCCCCTTGGAGCTTCGCTGTGATGCCCGGGGCACCCCCTTGCCCAACATCACCTGGCATAAGGACGGGCAGGCCCTGAACAGCCAGGAGGACAGCAGAGGGACTGGGCAGCAGCTCCGGGTGGAGGCTGTGCAGGTGCTGCTGTCTTGCCTGCTGTTGGGGGAGGGGGAGAGGGTCCCAGCAGCATCTGGCAAGGTTTGGCTGAGCTCCTCCTCTGTGTGGGGTAAGGATGTGGAGATGACCCACCTGGGCCATGCCCTCAGGAGCTCCCAGCCCGGTCAGAGCCAAGGCTGATGCAGAAACCATATAACCAGAGGAGGGCTGGTGCAGTCAGGGAGGACTTCTTGGAGGAGGCAGGCTTTGCCCTAACCCTAAAGCAAGGGTGAGATGGAGATAGAGAAGAAGCATCCCAGGGAGGGGAATGGGTGGGTTGGAAAGTGGGAGGGCAGGCTCAGTGGGGTCCTTAGTTGTAAAGGAAGGAGACCAGGAGGTAGACAGCCTGGAGCCAGGGGTGGCTGCTTACCCTGCTCCGTCCCCAGGTGGGCGATGATGGGCTGTACACTTGCCTGGCCCACAACCCTGCCGGTGAAATCGAGAAGAGCTTCCGGGTCAGGGTTCAAGGTAGGGGTGTCAGGGGCGGGCAGGAGAGGGAGGCAGGATGGGACCTGCAGGGGAAGGTCCATCGCTCATGCTCTCTCTTTGCCCCCAGCCCCTCCAAACGTTATTGGGCCCCGAGGCCCCCGCTCTGTGGTTGGCCTGGCCCCGGGGCAGCTGGTTCTGGAGTGCTCCGTGGAGGCGGATCCCGCCCCCGAGATTGAGTGGCACCGAGATGGCATCCTGCTGCAGGTGGGCGCCAGGCTGGGGGCCCAGGGACCCCTCCTTCTGTCCTGCTCAAGCCCTGACCCTGACCTGCCTGCACCAGCACTTGGCACACCTGCCCGCTGATGTTCTCCCGCTGCCATTGTCCCCACACTGTGGATGGGGACCCTGAGCCAAGGCTCGGGTGTGCGCGCGGGGCTTCTGACGACTCTGGCGTTCTTCCCATTGCAGCTCTGAGCGACACTGAGTGCTGTGTGCCCCAGGCCAGTTACTGAGCTTCTCTGGGCTCAGCCCTGAAACGGGGGGCTCGCTGCTGGGCACCTAAGGAGTGTAGTCCTTCTGGTGGAAGGTCCCACTCCTGTCTGAGCATAAGCCCCCCTCCCCCACCCTCCCAGTGGGTGGAGCCTGTTTCCCAGGAGGGTCCTCTGCTGGGCATCAGGCCAGCCCACAACAGGCCGAGGCCACTGCCCGCACCCCCCCATTCCTGGGTCCTCTCTGGCTGGTGCCTGGGGACATGCCTGGTCCAGCCCAGCACTGACCAGGGTCTCTCCATCCCGGGGGATCTACAGGCAGATGCCCACACCCAGTTCCCAGAGCAGGGCCGGTTCCTCCAGCTGCAGGCCCTGAGCACGGCCGACAGTGGCAACTACAGCTGCACGGCCCGCAACGCCGCGGGCAGCACCAGCGTGGCCTT